AGGTGTGTTGGTGCTTGTTTAAAGAACTTTTACTTCTTGCACAGAATATATAAATACTTTAGTCTGGGCATTGGTTCACTTTAAGACCAGGCAGCTCAAACCCCTTACTTTTTTAAAGGCAGTTTTAAAGTATAACTTAAAGTGGAGTTCCACTCACCTGTCAAAAAATAAAAGTCAGCAGCTACAAGAACTGTAGCTGCTGACTTTTAAAAAACAGCCACTTACCTGTCCCTCAATACCGTGGTGTGTGTCCCGCAGCCCGTTTCACCAGCCGTCCTGTATTCCAGGAGGCGCCGGCATCTTCAGTGTGGGCACCCGGCTGTGATAGCTTGCGGATTTACAGCCGGGTACCCACTGCGCATGAGCGAGTAGTGCTGCGCTTCATGAATGGTCCTGTAGTCTTCTGGGACCTGTCACGTGTCCCAAAAGACTACAGAAAGGAAGGGAGGGAGGACAACTTCCGTTCGGACCGGAAATGGGAGTGGGTACCTGTGAAATTCGAGTACCCGCCCCCCAAAGGTGTCAATCCTTAATGGGGAGCAGTCCTTAAAGCGGAACTTCCCCTTTTGGGTGGAGCTTCGCTTTAAGTCACAACTTTTATTTAGTTTTGGAAAGAGTGGAGAGGGATTAGAACATCTGACAGTTTTTATTGCTGTCTGGTATGGTATGCATTAATGGTAATGGTATGCATTAATGCTCAAATGTTTGACACGCCTAAACGCGAGTACAATACCAAGCATATATAGGGTTGCCACATCATCTCTTTAAACCCAAACACATATTAATTACACAGGTTCTGTGGCTGATTAAGGCTACTTTCATACTGATCCTCCACAAAAACGCATAGGCATTTTTACCGTGCTTTTGTGCGCCTACAAAGAGTTTTTAGTGCAGTTTTTAAGTCACGTGTCCTTTGAAAAACACTCAGAAAGCGCAGCAAAGGCGTGGGAAAAACGCCTAGGCGTTTTTGCTGTGTTTTTGCAGCATATCAGTATGAAAATAGCCTTACTCACCAAACATGCCCCAAAGATGCTGCAAGCAGGAGTTTTTACACCGCACCACAAGCACAACGCCTCAGTGTGAAAACATACATAGATATACATTCACACACATAGGGAAGCATTTTTCTTGAGCTTTTTAGGCACTTTTTTTTTTTTTATGCAGAAACGCTTCAAAAACTCCTCAGTGTGAAAGTAGCCCAAGGTGGTAATTAAACTCACTTAGTGCCTAATCTACATTAAATTAGCCTCAGAACCTGTGTAATTAATGTGTTTGGGTTTAAAGGGATGAGGTGGCAACCCTTAAAGCGGAGTTTCACCTAAAAAAAAAAAAAAAAAAGTCAGCAGCTACTAAAAAGTTGGCAGATGATTTGGGACTATGTTAACAAAACCTCTTGTGTATAAAGAAAATGTACATAAAATATTTATGCATTGGTACAAGACACCTGTAGAGCTTCATGCGATCAACCCGAATCTGTCTGACAAGTGCTGGAGGTGCATGGGAGGAGTAGGTACCTTGGCACACATCTATACATTATCTTTTGGGGCTACCCTTTAGGGGTATTTCTAAGCAATCTAAGAGGTTGGGAATACATATCCTGATGGCTGCTAGACAGGTGATACCACTACTCTGGAAATCAGTGGATGCCCCCACACTAAGACTGGCCATACACTATACAATTTTCTTGAGAATTTTGATTTAGATTTACCAAAAACCATATAATGTAAGGTCAAACATAAACAACACTTTCAATTTATCCAATTAGGCAGGCCCTTGCACTACTTAGTTGAAGGTAAATCTAATGGAAATTGGACAGAAAATTGTATACTGTATGGCCAGCCTTACTCATCTTTTAAGAGCAATCTCTGAAATCAGAGAAATGGAATATCTTACAGCCCTAGTGGGTGACTATTCAGGTAATTTTCAATCTATTTGGGAACCATGGGATCACTCTCCCTTTGGTAGAAATCCTTCCCCCCCACCTATAGGTCACATACCTCTTTAATTACCAAACCTCTGACAATTACTGTAACCCAACAATGTGCAGGTTATTTATTTCAGGTACTTGTACAGCGCCATCAATTCAAGCAGCGCTTTACATATATATTGTACATTAACATCAGTCCCTAACCCTTAAAGGGTGTACAATCTAAGGTCCCTAAGTCACATCCATGCATACACATACTAGGGCCAATTTAGACAGGAGCCAATTAACCTATCAGCATGTCTCTGCAGTGTGAGAGGAAACTGGAGTACCCCGAGGAAACCCACACAGGCACTACCCGAGGAAACCCACACCAGGCACAGGGAGAAAATGCAAACTCCAGGCAGGTGGTGCCGTGGCTGGGATTCGAACCAATGACCCTAGTACTGCCAGGCGGAAGTGCTAACCATTTAGCCACTGTGCTGCTTTATGCGGTCTTGTGTTTTTGTACTGTACAGTTTACCATGCTGTCTAAACATGTTCATATTTCTTTTGTTTTTGTTCTCTTTTATATAGTTTGTGGATTTCTTTCTCTGCAATGTTCACACCTAACGTGTTGTTGTAACCTCGTTCTGAAAAAAATGGGCTTTGGCCTTCAATAAAAATTTACAATAAAAAAAAGCAGCTAAAAAAACTGTAGCCGCTGACTTTTAAAATGCCGGCACTTACCTGTCCCTCGGTGTCCTCACCACCGCTGGTTTCACTGGCTGTCTGCTCTCCCTGGCGCCGGCATCTTCAGTGTGGGCACCCGGCTGTGACAGCTTGCGTCTTCACTGCCAAGTGCCCACTGCGCATGCGCTTTGTGAATGGCCCTGTAGTCTTCTGGGACCTGTCACGTCCCAGAAGACTACAGGGGGGGAGGGAGGAAGGACAACTTCCACTTCCGATCGCCTAGGCGAAAGCAGCGGAAGTGGGTACCTGCTCCCCAAAGATGCCAATCCTTAATGGGGAGCGGGGGACAAAGGCTTAAAGCAGAACTTCCCCTTCTGGGTGCAGCTCCGCTTTAAGCTGGCCATACATGTATAGATTTTCAGCCGAGAATATTCGTACAAAAAATCTTTGAACATTCGGTGAATGAAGAAATGTCGTTCGAAAATTGTCTTTTGCTTTCAACATTTCAACAAATGTAATTTCTGAACGATAACTACATACACTAGCCGAAAATGTTTTGATCGAGAAAGGTTTTCCTTCCTGCCCCTTTGAATTTTCCTGCAGCTGCTGTCAAAAACAAGCATCGATTTGACCACACTAACGGTTAGAATATCAAATGAATATTCTTTGGAACGAAAATCTACACGAGTATGGACAGCTTAAAGCGGAGCTCCACCAAAAAGGGGAAGTTCCGCTTTAAGGACTGCTCCTCCGCTCCCCATTAAGGATTGGCACCTTTGGGGGACAGGTACCTGAATTTGACAGGTCCCCGCTCCCACTTCCAGTCCGATCAAGGTGTCCTCCCTCCCTGTAGTCTTTTGCGACACGTGACAGGTCCCAGAAGACTACAGGACCATTCACCAAGCCCAGCGGTACTCGCACACGCGCAGTGGATACCCGGCTGTGAAGCCGCAAGCTATCACAGCCGAGTGCCCACACTGAAGATGCCGGCCTCCTGGAATACAGGACAGCCGGTGAAAAGGGCTGCAGGGGACACACCACAGGACCGAGGGACAGGTAAGTGGCTTTTTTTTTTAAAAGTCAGCAGCTAGTTTTTGTAGATGCTGACTTTTATTTTTTTGACAGCATGAGTGGAACCCCGCTTTAAGGCTAATACCAAGCTTTTTTTTTTCCACAGCATTTTTCCTGCCAGGAATTGTTCCATTCAGAAGGGCTAAAGAGACAGCTTGAGGCCTTATCTCATCTCTGTAAATCCAGCCATACCACATCATCACTGTGCTACTTCCTAAATGGTCCCACATGGCTGTAATGCAGCTACTATATCAACTGTTGCCATCCTTGAACCCTCAGCAAAGAGGCACTAAGCTTGGATTTCATTTTTTACCAGGAAAATACAAATATATGAATGCACCATGTCACTTTACATACCAAACACCACGCCCTCTTTCTCCCACAGTGCGCGGGTCAGTGTCACGTGCCGCCTGAACTTTCTCCCACAGTGCGCGGGTCAGTGTCACGTGCCGCCTGAACTTTCTCCCACAGTGCGCGGGTCAGTGTCACGTGCCGCCTGAACTTCCTCCATGCTCATACACAGGTAGAGCGATCCGCACTGCCCCCAGCGCCGGATAGCCGCCACTACACCACATGCGCCTCATTACCTTCTACGCGGCCGAGAGCGCGGAGTGATCTGTAAACGTGTTACTGCCGAGGCGGAGTAATCTACCTGAGGAGGAGCGTTAGAACGTGGGCGTGCTGTTGAGTGTTCTCAGTGAGTATGTTGATTTATAGCACATATTATAAAGGACTTGGATGACATACTCCTATCACCAGAAACAGGTTATTAATAATACTAGGAGGACACTCAGTGGACCTTGAGGGAACCTGGAAACCTTACTCTTCAGGTTCCCCCAAGGTCCATAGTGTCCTCCCTGATCTCTAGGCCTAGTAGTAGTCACACACCTTGTAAGATCTATGCAGTCTCTCTTAGGGCCATTCACAGCGGCTGGATCTCTTGTGTTTAAAGGAGCTTTTATATTGGAATTGGCACTTGACCATAAACTACAACTAGTCTGATATGATCTTTCTGCATTTTGGAGGTGCTTTGGGGTTCTTCCCAAATTATGTGCATTACTGCAATGCATTGATGTGACTGAGCCCATAGATCTTCCAAAACTATGCAGTGGACGGCCTACCTAGAAGCTTCAGAAGAGTGCAAGGCCCTCCGCGTGCTCAGGAGTTGGAGATCATGTTTGGGATTGATTTAGCCCTGTTCACAGATCAGTGCGATTTGTTCCTCCAATTTCACTTCATTTAACAGAAGTCAATGCAAGTCGCAATGAAATCAGAAAATAAAAAGTGCAGGAACTATTTTTGAAATCGCACTACTTAAATCACACTGATTAACCACTTCAAGTCCGGATACTTTCACCCCCTTCCTGTCCAGGCCGATTTTCAGCTTTCCGAGCTATCACACTTTGAATGACAATTGCACGGTCATGCAGCACTGTACCCATATGAATTTTCTAGCATATTTTTTTAGACAGATAAAACTTTATTTTGGTGGTATTTATTCACCACTGGGATTTTTTTTCTATATAGATGAAAATGTCCAAACATTTTGGAAAAAAAAAACGTTTTTTCTTATCAAATTTTGCAAATCTTTCTTCATAAATCTTGGCCAAAATGTATTTAACTATCTTTTTAGTAAAAAAAGAAAAAATAAATAACCCAAGTTAATTTATAACCAAAAGTCATAATTTTTCAAAATTTATTTAAAATTTTTATTTATTTATATATATATATATATATATATATATATATATATATATATATTTTTTTTTTTTTTTTTTCTAACATACCTTATCCCCTGGCAGTACAGTGTCACCATAGTGACACTACTACTTGTGGGGGGTTATTTTTTTTTTCTTTTTTTAAACTGATTGCTTTTACACCCATAAAGGCTGTAAAAGCAATCATTTCTTCTCTCTGGCTGCATTCTTGCAGCCATTGAGAAATACTGTGTGAGCTGTGATTCGTCACAGCTTGTCACATGGTACAAGGCTGTTGTGAATAGCCTTGTACCATGTGACCTCTGTGATCATTCATAGATTTCACACGTAGTAAGCAATGTCAGGAAGTGTGATCACTAATTGTCCGGAGGACACAGCGGGCACCAGATCGCGGTGCCACGCACTCCCCCTCCCAGGGATCGTGCACAGGCAGTGAATGCGGAGGCTGTTTATAAACGGCATCCCACTTCGGCACTGCTCCCGTCTGGCCATTTATGTACATGGGCTGGACAGGAAGTGGTTAAGGTAGTGCCCTAGAAATACACTAGATGAGATGTCCGGTGCGATTCCTAAATCTCATGTTGCACCTGCTGGAGTGAACTAGGGTTTAGGCCAGTTGCACATGGGGCATCTACTTACTGTGCCCCCAATACAGTGTTTTAGTGTACCCAGGAGGCATAGATGTAGCATCCAACCCAGCTACCTTCAACTTGCCAAAGTCTACAACAGGCTGAAATACGTTGCTGCTGGATGGCGCTGAACACTGTACTGAGTGGTACTCCTGTTTTGTGCCCTATGAGTTCAGGGACAAGTGCCAGAACATAGAATACCTGCGTAGAATTTGACAGGCTGCAGGGCTGGATGCTGCACCTGTGCCTGCTGGGCTCACTAAAACACCAGGATTGACGGCACAGCAGCTAGATGCCCCATTTGCAAGTGCCTTGAATGCATAACTGCTTAAAGTTGTTGTAAAGGTAGAAAGTTTTTCTACCTTTATGTATTTTATGCACGAAGGTAAAAAACCTGTGTGCTGCTTCTTCCACAGCCCCCCTAATACTCAACTGAGCCTCCTCTCGATCCAGCAATGTGTACAATAGCCTTGGCTGTCCTGGGACTCCCTCTCCTCATTGGCTAAAAAAGCAGTAGGAGCCATTGGCTCCCACTGCTGTCAATCACAGCCAGTGAGCCAATGAAGAGCGAGCAGGAGGCAGGGCCGAGCCACAGCTCTATGTGCTCAAGGGCGAACACACATCAGTGCCCTCATAGCAGGAGTCTTGATATTGGGGGCACTGGTCAAGGGGGAGGAGCCAAGAGCACTGTCAGGGGACCCGGGAAGAAGAGGATCGGGGCTGCTCTGTGCAAAATCATTACACAGACCAGGTAAGTATGACATGTTTGTTGTTTAAATTAAAACCTGTAATACCACTTTTAAGAGGCACTTCAGTCTTACCCAAAAAGTCAAAGGACATGGACCTCTCCAAGGATCCAACATGTCCTCACCAGGGCTGGTACTTCACCAGTCTACAGGTCCCTGGTGCTGGCATGTTTACTAAGAGAAGCCCGCTGTGAAGGATTGCAGCTTCACAGCTGGCTTCCCACTGCGCACATATAAGCTGCGCTTTGTGAAAGGTCCTCCATTCTTTTGGGACCCGTGATGTGTCCCAGAAGGCTCTGGGCAAAGGGGGAGGGGGTGAACTTCCATTTGGATGGGCTAGGCAGGGGTGTGAATATTTTTGGGAAAAAAAAACATTTTTCTAACCAAAACGGTATCTAAATCTGCTTTAACCGGCTCCCACCCGCCATATAAGTAAATGATGGGTGCAAGGTGGTTCTCTTATTCTGGGAGGACGTCATATGACGTCCTTCCACTCTAACCACACACGTGCGCAGCTCCGGGGGTGCACAGCGTGGCGATTGGTGGTGTGCTGTTTCCCTTGGAACATCACATAACCGATGTCTGCTCGGTTATGTGATGAGCTGTGTCCAATCACAGCTGATTGCATGTAAATAAGGAAGTGGCGGTTATCAGCATTTCTCTCCTCACAGCTCGTGAGGAGAGGAGAGCCGGTAATTGGCATTCCTCAGTGGGGGCATGTACACTGATCATCAGGGCATTGATGATCAGTGTGCCCTGATGATCAGTGTAGCCCCAGCAGTGCCAGCTGTCAGTGTCCATCAATGCCTGATGTCAGTGCCCATCAATGCCACCTATCAATGCCACATATCAGTGCCTACCAGTGCACATAAATGCCACATATCAGTGCCCATCTGAGCCGCCTCTCAGTGCCACCTCTCAGTGCCTCCTATCAGTGCCATATATGAGTGCTACCTTTCAGTGCCCATCAGTGATGCCTGTCAATGCCCGTCAGTGCCACCTACCAGTGCCTCCTCATCTGTGCCACCTATCAGTGCCACCTATCAGTGCCCATCACTGCAGCCTCATTAGCGCACTTCAGTGAAGGAGAAAAATCACTTATTTACAAAATTTTATAACAAAAACTAAGAAAAAACATTTTTTTCCCCCAAAATTTTCAGTTTTTGGTTTGTTTAGCAAAAAATTAAAAACCCAGAGGTGATTAAATATCGAAAGAAAGCTCCGTCTAAAAAAAAAAATGATAAAAATTTAATATGGGTACAGTGTTGCATGACCCTGCAATTGTCATTCAAATCGTGATCGTGCTGTAAGCTGACAATTGGCCTGGGCAGGAAGGGGGTATAAGTGCCCTGTAGGCAAGTGGTTAAGTAATGTCTGGGGCTTTTAAAAACAAAAGGGGCTTTATGGCAACTTAAATGTTTTTTATATTTTTAACATTGCACTGTTTATCGCCTCCACACCTTCCTGCCTGTCTTCAGCACTGCACCTGGGGACTAGCAGGAAGGGGAGAGACCTTGCAGTGTAATTGGCACCGATTGGGTGCTTGTCAGGAAAGGGGAGTGTCATGCTTATTCTTTACCCCTTTTGCTGCCAGAGATGTTTTTGCATTTTTTGCACACGTTTAAAAAAAATTATTTAAGACCCGACGATTACACAAAACTCCAAAACATTATATATTTTCTGAATCAGAGACTCTAGAGAATAAAACAGCGTTCCAATTATATTATGTCACACGGTATTATCACAAAGGTCTAGGAAATGCAAAATGTCAGTAAAAAATACACTTAAGTTTAGTGCACAAAAAGCAATAAATTATCCAATTTTTATGTAGAATAAAAGATAAGGTTGCATCAAGTAAATGGATATCCAACATGTCAAACCTTAAATTTACGTGCACTTGAGAAATGGCAACAAACTTTAGTACCCTGTATTTTCTGTAGGTGACGCTTTTAAACCCCCCCCTTATAGGTCATCATTTTAGCGTTATGGAGGAGGCCTGGTGCTAGAATTATTGCTCTCATACTGGCGTGCGTGGCTATATGTACCGTGTATTAGGGGTTCACCAAAAATTCGGTGGCCAAAACGTTTCGGCCGCTATGAAAAAAAAAGCAACAATACAGGTGCCGAAAATAACCTCGCCGCTGCTGCCCCTCGCCGCTTCCTGCCAGCCGCTGCCATCACTGGGCATCGCTCGATAGTTCTCAGCCTTACATGAGAAACCACTGAACGATCCCGGCGCTGGGCATAGAGATGAGTGAAGGAAAGATGGCCTCCACTTATCTCTATGCCCTAATTATTTCTGTCACAAGAGATGCATGAAATCCTTGTGATAGGAATAAAAGTTATTCAATTTTTTTTTTAAAGGGACAGTGTAAAAAAGAAAAAAAAATTAAGTAAATTAAAAAAAAAAGTTAAAGTGCCCCCGTCCATGTACTGGTGAACACATACGTAGGCCACGCCCACATATGTACACGGTGTTCAAACCACACATGTGAGGTATCGCCACGAATGTCAGAGCAAGAGCAATAATTCTAGCACTAGAACTCCTCTGTATCTTTACACTACTAACCTTTAGAAATTTTTAAAGCATCACCCATGGAGATTTTTAAGTACCATAGTTTGACGCCATTCCACGAGCGTGCGCAATTTTAAAGCATGACATGTTGGGTATCTATTTACTTGCCATAACATCCTCTTTCATATACAAAAAATTGCAGTATATATTGTTTGTTTGTTTTTTTAATCATTTAACGTTAATTTTTTTTTCCAAAAATATATATTCATTTTTAAAAATTGCTCGTTTTGGTTTTCGGCCAAGTGCATCCTGAATTTTTGGTTTTGGCACCAGTATTTTCATTTCGACGCAAAAAGTCCCCTATGTGATGATTTTTTGGTGACAGGTTCTCTTTTTTTTCAGACATGCAGGGTCTAACACATTTTTCTAACACATGCTCAGTAACAGTTTTTTTACCTTTTGATCCTTCCAGTAGATGTTATTTTTTTGAGATTTTATTTATTTATGAAAGGAAATAAAGGTTTCTGTTAAAGCTTAAAAAGTGTTAGCTAGAGTTAGGCTTTGTTAATCACTTATGCACATTTCATCTAAATCTACCAGACCATCTCATATTACACTCTCCACAGTTTGACAATGCTGATGTCCAAGAGAGGCTACAAACTTAGAGACTGCCAAGCTGCTTTATATAATGTTTTAGAATTTAGATCTGGTTTTGACTGTTCATACCTGTGCAACTGCAAAGTTGCGTAATTTCCATTGTGGCTTTGATGCAAATGTGGATGGGTGTGACTTGGATGCTACTTTGGCTTTGACTGTTACACTAATTCATGCATTAATGTCACAGCTTAACGTTGACTTTCGGGTCTTGAGACGCGTTTGGCTGGAGTTGGGTACCAGGGTTGGTTTATGGGGACACTCTCTAACTTTACATGTATTCGCTTCTCCTTTTGGAGGCAAGGAGAGTCAATAGTCTGGGGTGGTAGTGGAGTCTAGGAAGTCTCTTCCCCCAGGACTCCCTGTGTAGAGATGTGGTGTGCCTGTTGCTACTCTCATCCTATAGTTTCCAGTGCTCGGCTTTTGATGTCCCTTCCATCTTGGTTTTGTGTAGTGGTGCACCGAAATGGGAATTCTGGTGCCGAAACCAAAAATTCAAAATGCACTTGGCCGAAAACCGAAATGCGCAGTTTTTAAAAATGAATATATATTTTTTTGGAAAAAAATACTCTGAATAAAAAAAAATATATAACCTCATTTTTTTGTAAAATATGTAAGAGGATGTTACAGCGAGTAAATATACCCAACATGTCATGCTGTAAAATTGCTCATGTTTGTGGAATGGTGTGAAACTATGGTACTTAAAAATCTCCATGGGTGATGCTTTAAAAATTTCTACAGGTTAGCAGTGTAAAGTTACAGAGGAGGTCTAGTGCTAGAATTATTGCTCTTGCGATACCTCACGTGTGTGTGGTTTTGAACACGGTTTACATATGTGGGCTTGGCCTACGTGTGCGTTCACCGCTATGTGCAAACACGGGGGGACGAGGGCACTTTAAACTTTTTTTTTATTATATTTAATTGTGTTTTGGGGTTTTTTTTTTTGCACTGTCCCTTTAAAAAAAAAGTTTAATCACTTTTATTCTTATCACAAGAAGTGCATGCAGCCCTTGTGATAGAAATAATTAGTGGTAGATCCTCTTTATGGAGAGATATGGGGTCAATAAGACCCTACATCTCTCCTCTACAATGTAAAGCATTGGATCAAAAAAAGCGCAATGATCTAGTGCTTTAAAAAAAAAAATAGCCAGAATGGGACGTGACATTGCTCCGGTCCTATAAGGGCATAGAGATGAGTGGCGGCCATCTTTCCTTCACTCACCTCTATGCCCAGCTCGGGATTGATGGTTTCTCAGGTAAGGCTGCCGGTGGCAGCAGTGAGGGGCGGGCGGTGGTGAGGGGCAGTGTTTTTTTGGCACCTGTATCGGTGCTTTTTTTCATTTCGGCCAAAAGAGGTGTTTTTGGCCGAAACGTTTCTGCCACCAAAATTTCGGTGCATCCCTAGTCTTGAGCCATACCGAACGGCAGTTGTCAGGGACTAGTTTGAACTCAGTACCTTAGCTGTGTTAGGCAGGGTCTCTTCTTTTTGAACCACTTGGAATGCTGGACAGTTGTGTGAACAAATCCTTGGATGAGCCTCTCTTGAATCTTGTTTTGTCTTGAACCTTGAACTCTTCGCTCCTCTTACTCATTTCTTTATTTAAGCTATGCTATGGCACTTCCTGTTGCCAGATTATTGTTCTCTTCACAGTATTTCTACCTACAGCCTTGAGCTACCACTATTACTGCTTGGAATAGACCTTGGCTTGTGACCCGACTATGCAACTCTTCTCCTGCATAAACCTTGGCTAGTAACTCTCACACCAATCACCTGTTTAGTGGTTCAGACAGTTCAACCTCCTCAGAACTGTGAACGGTGCTTAGCCTGACAATCTCGGCTATTGGTCTCCGCTCTCTACAGGTATTTTCCTATCAGAATAATCTGGCCTAAAAAACATGCCGCCATCTCTGAGTGAACATGTTGTTTCGCTAACTGAGGCTTTTGCAAATTAAGCCCATATGATTCAATGCTTACAAGCACAAGTGCAAGAGCTACAAGGGGAGGTAGCTAAATTGCATTCTCAACTTTTGCAGCAACAACTGCAAACAGCTATTAACAGTGATGCTAACCTCCTCCTTTTACCTGATATATTCAGTGGGAATCCAAAACCTTACAGAGGCTTCCTGAATCAATGTTCATTTCACTTTCAGCTGCAACCATACCGATTTGCAACCCCACGCTGCAAGACAGGCTTTATAATATTTCTGCTAATTGATGAGGCCCTGGCGTGGAGCAAGACCATGCTATTCTAGGAGATTTTGATGGTTTTGTGGCAGCCATTGATTTAATTTTCGATGATCCGAATTGCAACACAACTGCTGAGGCTGTGTTATTAAACTTGCTCCAAGGGAAATGTTCTGTTGGTGAATATGCTGCTGAATTGTGTTGATGGATAACTGATACCACTTGGAATGACAGTGCAAAGCGCTTTCACTTTAGAAAAGGACTTTCTGAGGATATAAAAGATGAGCTATCCAGAGTAGATACACCAAATGGTCTAGATGACTTAAATGATGATTAGATGATTAAATTGAGCATTAAGATCGATAAACGATTTTTGGAGAGACAAATTGAGAAACAATGATCAGTTGGCTTCAAATCTTCTTTCAATCTTCAACCTATGGCTATAGCTTTTACTAGCTCTGAACTGGAACCAGAACTTATGCAGATTGGATCTCTCAGCTTTGCTGAAAAGAAACGTAGACGTGAACTGAATCTTTACTTCTTATTGCAGTCAGTTAGGTCACTTCATCCAAAGGTGTCCACATAAATAAAGACAAACCATTGCAGCAGCTGGTCAAAGAGAATTGTCCACATCTAGGGAACAAGTGGGATCCATTACACAACCTTTGTTTTCATAACACAAGGAGAATACGAGATGGTCTGTCATCACACCCGCATTTTATTGTACAATCACTCTTAGACCAGTTATTCTACACCTCAGCAATACTGGATTCTGGGGCTGGTGGTAACGTTATAGATTTCAAATTTGCTGAAGACAATTGCATCACCCAAATACCCAAATCATCCCCA